TTTTTTTTTTTTGTTTCTGATAAGAAAGCAAAATCAGGAAGGTGGATTCTAAGGAATTCCTCGAACTGGGAAATTGTAGAGGGTCCCCCCAAACCTCTACAATTCCACACCATAGCCTTCATTGGCCACTTGGGAACCAATTAAGGCTGGTTTCCTCCACCTCTTTATTATCAGACTCATCATCAATATTTTTTTTTGCTTTTTTTAGACATGGGGCACAACAAAGATTCTTGAGATTCCTCAATATTAAGGACCTCAATATTTCTCTTAACAGCTGCCTTACCTCTAACACTCCTGGTATTGTCCATGTTATCCACCAACATGTCCTCAGGAGGTCCAGAAGAATTCTGAGTTTGGCTATTAGAGGCAGCAGTCTTTTTTCTATAAACAATTCTTCTACCCATAGGTAGAGGATGAACACTAACTTCCACTAGGTTAGACTCTGTGGGAATGAGTTCTTCAGAACTTGGAACTTTAGTTTCAGGGGGGATGCTAGTACCCTCCCTAACATTACTAGACTCAAAAGGCAACTGTTCAACTAGATCCTCATTCTGCTTTTGAGTATGAATCAAAGAGCAGTTAGGCCTAGTAGGGTTTGGTTCCCCTTGGCTACTTTGTTCACCCACCACACTTTTAGCAGCATTATTTTAAGGGGTAACATCATTACCCTCAGTTCCAACATGGCTATTTTGGTTCTGGATAGATATGCTCCTAGAACTGCTAGAAGGTGTAGAACTAGTTTTCAACCATTCCCCATACTGACCCAGTTTAACACAATTATTAGTGATGTCCTCTATTTTTTTAGAACAGCTCCTATCAGAATGTCCAATGACCCCACAATAATAACAAAACCTTTGCAAATTCTCATACCTGAATTCTACCCATTTGTTTTCCTCTCCCACCTTGAAGTGGGTTCCCCTAAGAAGAGGATCTTTCAATGGGATCTCCACCAGCATCTTCAGCACATGTCCCAAGGAATTTCCTTCTCCTGGGGTCTGGACATTCATAACTTTGCCAAGGAGTTTGCCCACCTTTAATCCTGTATCAATTGAAATCCAGTGTAAAGGAAGGTTAATAATTTGCACCCAAATTTTTATTTTCTCTTCCTCCTTACTAAACTCATTCGACCCAGGATTCCAATGTTTCAGCAAAATATATTGGCCATCAAATGACCAAGTTTTACCCTCAAGAATTTTATCTCTATCCTGTTCAGATTGGAATATAAATTGGAAACAATTATTTCCCATATTCGTCACTGAAAAAGGTTTATGGGTAAACCAGATTCCTCCTAAAGTTGTTTTCAAACCATTAAAATTAACTCTTTTTTCCCCATAGGATTTACCAATTAAACTAAGTTGGCAATCCCGTAGGAGCGATATCAATCATAGAGAGCTCAACACCCTGCTCCTATTTCTCTGCTAAACTAAATCGGAGAAGTTTATCCGAAATTTCCTGATCCATCACTAGAAAAATTAACCCCCTATCAGATAATGCCTCAACAAACCAAAAAGACACAAAGAGACAACCAACACAATCAGAACCCAAAGCCACAAATCCTAATGAGAGCAAACATTACTACAAATAGAAAATCAACAACAGCATACAAAACGAAACGACAACTAAACTCAAGCAGGCCAAGCACTCCGACAGGAATCGACCCAGCAAACAACACCCCCGATTCTACACACCCTACCCCATGATGCAACAAATATAAATTCAAAGGAAATAAAGATGATGCAACAAACGAGAAGCCAAAGGAAAAATAGATCGAGATGCGGAAGAACTGAAGATGAAAAAATCCTATAAAAGGAACTGGGACTCTAGAAAGAGAGAAACCCTAGGCAGGGACTTTATTCTAGAAGCTCTACGTTGTCTATTGTGTTCAATAAAATTACGATCAACATTGTTTGAGTATTTATGTGACAAATTTCCATACCAATTTGGGAATATTGATTGCTTGGGTCAGGGGTGATAAGTGATAACTAATAATTTATGTGACAGTCACGAATGCAAACAAACTGAGCGACTTGCGAGTCGCTCGCGAGCGCTCGACCCCAGATCGAGTATGACAGAACTCGAGTCGAGCTCGAGCTCATATTTTGTATTATCAAGCGACTCGTCGAGCGACTCGAAATATATGATGAAGTACTAAAATACCTTTTATACCTATATATATTACAATAGCATAAGGTGTTTAATGGTAATTTTATATCTCCCTTAAAAAATTTCGAGCCGAAACCAAACATTTTGATTTTAAGTAAAGCATGAGCGATTGTACTTTTTTATCCAATCAAGCTCGAACAGCTAAAAAAAAAACAATCCTGCTCGATAAGGCCAATGCTCGACTCGAATCGACTCATTTGCAACCATAGTCACAATAAATACACCAAAAGCTCATAGTACCCTACCAGATGAGATACCCTTCATTCAGATTTGTGTAGTTTGGTCCTATATTTTGGTGCATCTGCTCTCTCATGATGCTGACTTCTCGCTTGGACTATTTCTGGACCAGAATTTAATTTTTTGTATTACTTGTTGTTGTTGTCAGCTTTTCTTGTTTCTGTTTTTGCTTTTGTTTGACTTGATGAATATCAAACACTGGACTTATAGACTTGTAACTTTTTTGCCTATTTAGGGCATTTGTATATACAAATTGAAAGTCCGGCCTTAACCCTCACCTTTCTAGGGCCTTTTGAAGGATGCGCTGGAGGTCGGTCTTTTTGCATACCCCCGTGTTGTGATTTTTGCGAATTCTTAGTGGCTGGGAAAGAGAAGGGTTAATTAGGGTTACAACTTCTTTTATGAACAAAGAGTAAGTGGTATACTCTGTGCCCTAAAATCATATACCGTGAATTAAAAACTCCATTATATTTCATTCTCTTCTTATACAGTTAATGTAATTGATTGTTGTATTGATAATTTTTTATGGAGTCCTGAGTTCATTGGTTTTGCAATCATACAATTTGCGAGTACTTTTTCACTTTAATTAGATTTTTTGCCTTTTCTTGACCGAACGGGAATATAATCTCTTGTTCATGATATTATTCCCAATTTGAGATTTTGAGATGGTTCATAATTATCGGTTATAAATATGGTTGTTTTATTGTTATTGGCACACATAAAAAAATAAAAGCACTCTTTTAATTCCTAAAGTATCTCTTTCAATGTGCATAGACTACGAGTTGAACAAACGCAAGAAGATTGTTTCTATGGTTTTCGATGGACAAGAGATGCGAACAACTTGTTCATCAACCTAGCTCCTTTTGGATCAACATATGATCAGTGAGTGGAAAATTGAGCTGTTAAACCAAAATCAACTAGATTCTTGTCTTGAAGTTCTAAATAACTTGTTGGAGACCGGCTTAAGTCTCACTGAGTTGGAAATTATTGTAGACTTCCTTGACAAGAGTTACCATTGTTGAGGCTGAGTTAGGAACGTCGATATTATGCAAGTCACAGACTTCCTTGACAAGCGTTACCATTGTTGGGGCTGAGTTAGGAACGTCGATATTATGCAAGTCACGGATTGTCTACGAAATAACCCCAAGCACAGTGGAACTACAGATTGGAGTTGAATGTGTACTTTCTAAAATTTTCGTTGACTCTGTACAAACATACACGGCCTACGGGGTTAGAAGAATGATTATGAGACGATCTTCTTAACTAGTCGTCCTCCTCTCATTTGGTGAAGTGTCTCACTGTTGCTCGTCCCATCACGATTGCCTCGTCTTGCCTCTTAGTGTCTAAGTCGCGTCTCGCTTCACCTTAGGCATCGCACCACTATTGCTGGTCGGCTCGCATCGCCTAGGAGCTGCTAAATTGCTACCAGACTTCAAGTGGGATGCAATTATTTAAGAGAAAAAAAAAACGTTGATCGCTCCTCTTGCATTATATGCACGATCGTTGCACTGTAATATCCCGTGAGGTCGCCATTTTTCCATCGCCGCATAATAAAAAAAGAATCAAATAGAACACCACATTGTTATATCCAATCACCACTCGATTTTACTGGGCGTTCCATACAAACAACTTCTACAAGAGATAAATACACTCTTGGCCAGTTCGACGATTATTCTTTTCACAAAAGACTGCCTCTATATTCTGGCTGTTCAACAATCATTATCATCACAAAAGACGGCGTCCATATTTTGGTCGTTCGATGATCCTTCTCTTCAAAAAAGACGACCCATATTCATGTCGTTCGATGATCATTCTTTTCACAAAAGACGACTTCCATATTCTAGCCGTCCAACGATTTTTCTTTGGAAAATAAAGACGATCCCTATGAAGGAAAACGGAAATATTCTTATCAATCATTGATTGCCAATAAACAATAACCATTGAATTTCTTATCGCAGAAGAGACCTTCCTTTTTTTTTTTAATAAAAGCTCAAATATTTCCCACCGATATAAAATTTTCGGTTTGACTTTTTATATTTTTGTTCTATTATCTATTTTTACTTGTAAAATTTTAGTTATTTTGGTTTGATGTCTTCTTTATTTTTTAAAATTACCAAAAGTAATCAAACTGACCGAATTATATATAATAATTTTGATATTTCTTGTACATATGAAAAAAATATATAATATTAAATTAAATAAATTTTTTTGTTTAATATGAATGGTACATTATTTTGATTATTTAGGTTAATTCGATTAACCTGTCGAATAAACTGTGTACAATAGTGTTAGACATATTGCACGTTAATGACTGACAGATTGCACAATAACAACCTAATCCGACCAAAATAAAATATCTGGTTCGGGTTTTTGTATGTCGGTTTAGTTAACTATTTTTACTTTTAAAAATTTTCTTACTTTGGTTTGGCTTCGGTTTTATGTTTCAAATAACCGAAATAATCGAACTGACCAAACCATATAAATAATTATTTATTTATTTTTATATAAATATGTTATTTCTTTTTAGCAAAATATAAATATTAATTATTAAAAAATATGTATTAAAATAAAAATTATGTTTTTATAATATAAATATTAATTTACTTCGATTATTTTGGTTAATTTGGTTAACCAACCGAATGAAACGAGTATTTAGGTTCGATATTAATTTGTATTGGAAAAACAGTTCAGTTGGTTTAGCTTTTCCAAAAGTTCGGCTGATGATTTCAGTTTTAACATTTCGGTCGGTCGCTTCAACCCAACCAACTGATGAACAATATCATGCGTTCTGCAGAGCGTTGATAAATTTTATAATTTTTTAAATGTTTAATGTGCATATATACACATGCTATTGTGCACTTTATTTATCGTTGTTGGGCAATGCAGTGCACAACAATGTGCAATTATTAAATTTTTCATAAATTACTTATTTAACCCATAAATTAAATTGTTATATTTTACAAAAAAATTTAAATTGCAATTAAGTTTCTAGGAGTTATCAAATTTTCAAATGTTGGCCCTATCTCAAATCCCAAAATCTGATTTTTCAACACAAGGCCCTGTCCAACATCCTAAAATCTAATTTTCATCTTGTTGAATGGACCTCCGACGATATCTGCCTCGAAATCCCCCTCCGACGTGGAGAGAAGGTTTCAGATGGACCAACGCCCGTCAGTCAAGGCGTTCCTTCATGTGGTGAGAAGGAGAAGCCTGGCGTGGTACGAGGCAGAGCACGATGCCATCCACTCAGTGTAGTTGGTACTAAGGAACGTTGCGGGAACGCGACATTTGAATCCTTGGGGGCAGCAGAGGCTAATGCCACCTGAAGAGACAGCGGGATGGAAAGGAATGTGAAGAGCTCCAACGGCCGCACGCTCCATATCGCTAAGGAGGCCATGAATTGGCCGCCCAATTGGAGGCCCTTGATGTCGGATGAGGGCTTGAAGAAGAGTTCGCCGTTAGATTGGTTGACCCGCTGCTTAGTCGTCGGTAACGAAGTGTGTGCTGGTCGACGCCGATTTCGGTCGCTTGCAAGTTGCACTTAGTGGTCTTCGTCAACACCAACCGGTGGAAGGCAGCGACGATGCAAGCGGTCGAAACTTGCAGT